TTATACGCTTTTGCGCGCGCGGCACGCGGTGCGGGAGCGGCGCGGCGGATACGGGCCGCCGGCCGCCCCGGCCCTGCGCGTGCGCGCGTGCTGTGTGCTGTAAACTCGGTGGTGTGCGTGCTGTCTGTTGTATATGTGCTCAAGCACGCGGCGGCCGAGCCACACACGCGCGCCCGCGCCGCGGCGGCGGGGTTGTGACGACCGCGGTCGCGGTGGCGGCGGCGGCGGCAGCGCGCGGGTCGCGGCGTGGGGTGCGCTGACAAGGTGAGGGGCTGGCGTGTGCATCGATCAAGGGGACGGACAAACCGTACAAGACTCGGCAACGGCGGGGCGCAGGCTCGGGCCGGCGGGGGGCGAAAGGGTCCAAAAGGGGTTGGGGACGGCCGCGGCCGCGACTGCGTGCGGCGCGCACAAACACAGGACAAGGGGCAGCGGGGAGTAAAGAGAACGGACCGAGCGGCGAGGCGTGGCCTTGGTTAGGGTTTTGGTACAGGGGCCGCCCGGCGTCGGCAATGCCGCGCCGCCACCGCCGCGTGTGCGCGCAGGTCGCCGACCGCATGGCCGTTTCTGCAACGCTGGCGCGGCGCGCGTGCGTCGGGCGGAGGAGCGGCCGGTTGGGCGGCGGCTGTGGCGCGTCCCGTCTGGGCTCGTGTTGTATGGCTTCCAGGGCCTAGGCGGCAAGGAGGGTATCTCCTGGTTGTGGTTGGGTTGCTAACATTATCAAGGGCTGCCCATGCGGACGGCCCGCATGGCGCATGGCGAGCTGCGGCCGGCATGGAGATCTCGCGCGCGGCGCGCTCAGTGGAACAGCCGCTGCAGCACGCCCGAGCGCTGCACGCCGCCCTCGTCCTGGTTGGCGTAATTCTGGCAGGGGGGCTCGACGGCCTTGGGCGCCGCGGGCTTGACCGGCTTGGGCTTGGGCGCGGCGGGCGCCGCGGGCGGCCCGGCCGCGTCGGGGACGGCGCGCATCGCGGGCGCCGCGGTGGCCTGGAGGGAGTGCGGTAGGTAGGCATATGCGTGTGATTGGGCGAGAGGTTGGCGGAGAGCGCAAGATTTGCCGGTTTCGAGCACGTTGCGTGTCGAGCAGCGGCCCGACACGTTTGTCGCGCAGAGCTGATCGGGCGGCCTCATTGGGCCCTCAGTAGCCCTACCTGAGTGGCTGCTGCCGCGAAGCCCCGCAGGCCGAAGGAACGCGTCGCCACAGGCACCACGGCGCGGATCATTGTCGAGAGGACCGGCGAGCTGGAGGGATTGTGGAGTGTGAGTGTGGATGTGGATGTAAGACTGCACAGAAATGATACCGCAGGGCCAGGGTACGCCCAAAGCCGTGTCTTGAGACGTAATCTTCGGCACGCGCCCATTACGACCCAACTCCCTGCGCACAAATCGCCCCACGTATGGGAACGATTGCCTGAGTTGCATGCATACCGTTCTGAGGCGCAAGGCCAGGCTCTGATGCAGCCAGAAGCTCCCAAAGTGCCACTGGCACCCTCGCCTCGTCACCGCTTGGGGGCGGCGGCGGCGCCGTCGCGTCTGTCCCCACGAGGCCCTGCGAGCGGCCGCACCCTGGCAGATGTGTTCTTAGGGCCACCAGGGGCCGCCGTCTGCGGCACTAGACGCCGCCGCGCGGGTTGCGGGGAGGTGCCCAAATGCGAACCGACCCCACTGGCCCCACTGGCGTGAAGCATCGCCCGCTCAACTTCCCCCATCCCCCTCGCGCGGACGCGCCGCATTGCAGCTGGTGCACGCGATGCGGACAGACGTATCCAAATTGACCCCCCCCCCCACAGCCAACTGACAAGACCCCCAGCACTGCAGGCCCCTTGCACCCGAGTCGCGGCGAAGGGCAAGAGCGCGGTTACTCAGCTGGACTGCTGCGACAGCTCAGCGTGGCCAGGGCCAAAGGGGATGCAGGAAGGCGGGGGCAATAAGGAAGCCACCCGGGCGCCGGCAACGCACGGCTGCCCGGCGCGTTCGCGTGCCGCAGGCGGTGTGCGCGCGGGCGGGGGACGCGGAATCGTGGATTGGTGGGGTCGGGTCGGTCGGGACCCGCCCCCGCGGCAGCGCGCGCCGCCGCCCAGCGGCCGCCGCGGCGGGGCGCAACGGCGCGGCCC